AAATAAGCTCGGCCCACTCTGACCCGGGCAGGCCTGGATCAGACTCGACCCGATCTTGAACTATGCGGGCCGGGTCATAGGCCTTAACCAGGCCGGCCCACGCCCACCCCTAAACAAGACGACACATGTACGTACAAGTAGAGACTAGCCGTCGATCATCCTCCAACTTATACTCAGGATGTGTTTGGCAAATTTGAAAATAATGTAGACTAGTTTTGAACTAGCTCTACTTGCCTTAGGTTTTGCTAAACTAGACCTTATTGAACTAGTTGTAACTGAAGCTTAGTTTGGCTACTTTGTAGATTAGACTTTATTTTAACTAGTTATCTTATAAACCAAGTGAGAGTTTGTACATTTCTAGCCTATTTATTGAGCAAAAATAGACCTCAAATGAACTAGTTTATTCCATCTTTTACATTTACCAATCAGGGCTAAGCCTATCAACTCATTTTGTCTTCCACTAACAGTGTGTTTGGGAGATAGACTTGGGGAAAGAAAAGGAAAGGAAGGAAGGAAGGGGAAAAGTTACCCTTCCTTCCATTCCCCTTCATTACACCCCAATTTGGGGTGTAACATTTTGGCTCAAATCCCCCCAATTCCCCTCCTCTCCCCTATTAAATGGAACTCTCAACAATGTTAAAATTAAATTTCTCTTCCTCTCCCTCGCTCTGTCCTTCATCCAAACTGACCATAAAAGTAGTTTATCCAGCCATACCCTTAGCATCATTTCCCTGGCTATTGAATGCGTTCATGTACGCTAGCATTTACCATTATCCAGGAGCCCCGCGTGAACGGGAGCCAATCAAGTAATCTCTACACCGGTACCCCTGTCTTTTTCTTTCCTATAATTAACCGTATATTTATTACAATTTGAATGCTCTCATGAACATTTAACGTTCAGCCTTTGTGCCTTCATGAGTAACAGCTTCCTCTTGAGAAATAGCTATGGAAATTGAGATGTTATATATAATTCGAGGGCTTGGATAAGGACAAGAACCAACCAACCAAAACATCAAACTAGGCTCTTATAGGAGCCTGTGACCAATTTGGGTATTGTTTATTCCGAAGATGATGGGGTCACATGAAACCACAAATGGGACAGAAACTGAAAGCTTGTATTTAAAGCAAAGCTAACGTAATAATAATAGTTGGACCACCCAAATAACTCTAGTTTAACAAAGACAACAACAAAAAAAAAAAAAAATTGTTGAGCTCATAAATTCATCTCGATCGACATAAGAAGCGCAAATGGGGATGTTCTCTATCGTTTTCAGGTTGTGATTCTGTTGCCGATATTATAACTCATGGTTAAAAAAATGGAAGTAAAGGAAATACTTTCGATACTTCACATTTTCTATCGCGTCAAATCTACGGTTGGGTGCATAAAAAAATAATAATAAATCTTTATTTTTTGACAGGACAACGCAGAAGCTATAGCTCTTTTTTTTCTTCTTTCTATAATAAGGAAAGCAACGCACGGGCAACATAATAGTCCCTAGAAGTGATAAACGACTCAAAAAGCACCCAGAGAAGGGATTGATTGGGTTACTCTCCAATTAGTAGATAACTGGAGAGTGTACAATTACGCCTATCATATCCCTCTATTTCAATTTTAGGGGTCAAGATGAACTGATCGTACTACTCTAAATATTATTTTTAAAATCACTACCGTCTTTAAAGCTACTTTTGTGAAAACCGGTATTATAACATGTTGGATTTAAATCTAATTAAATCTAATTTGTGGGCACACATGTTATATCAGTGTGCGTTGCTATCTTTCAGTTGACACGCATAAAGTGATCAATCAGGTAATTGGGTCAATGAGTATTTAAATATGTCATGGGCTAAACGTGCGGGTACTAGGTTATAATTATAATTTGATGAGGGGCCAAATTATAAAAGTACAACAACTATAAATAAGGGGTTATGGTCCCTAATCTATGGTTACATTCTCTATTCTCTTGATCCACATCTAAAGAGATTCTAAAAGGAGAGACCCTCAAGATTAGAAGATCAAACCCTAATTCATATCCTTACAAATCTTAGTTATGGATTCAGGTATTGTTTCCGCTCTCATTGTTGTTGTTTATTCCTTTTGAATTAATCATGGTTTTATAGATTAGATCTCAGATATTTAGATCTATCATAACAGTGCAAAACCTACGTGGTTACATTTTAGCCATGGAAATTATAATATAGAGGTAAGATTGAGGTGATTGGATACTCTCCAATTACTGCCTAACTGGAAAAGATTCGAATAAAAAAAAAAGAGCGGTCAAAGGCTCGTTTTCTCAAATATTGAAGGTAAGAAGGGATTAGGAGAGATTAATTATAGAAAATTTTGCAAATGACAGTACTTATCACACAGGGAATCAGTATCAGAAAACATGCATGGGGACATCCGACAAGCAAGTTACGCATGTGGAGAGCCAAGATTCTGAACAATAACTGAAGTAGAAGGGCAAAGTGCCAAATTGACTAATCTCATATCTTCTGGATCCTGTTTAAAGCCAGTCCCAATCTGAGAAGACAAGAAGAAATCCACCATAACATGGAAAACCCTAGCGAGATTTTTTGTAGTAAACAATGCCGAAGTTTTTTTTTTCCCCCCCTTTTCCTTTTGTTTGAGATACTTGGATTTGGGATACAAAATTTGCGAGACAATTGCAAGGGGCTTTTGGTGTATCGACATTTAGATCTCTTGAGCAAGACCCGGAATGTTTCTTTTGTTAACGATGAAAATGATGAAAGAGTCTGAATACGATGAGAACATAAAAGGAAAATTGTTTAATTTAGCTGGCTGGATTACTGTTATGATTAACAGTAGTCCATCATTTCTCTCAAAAAAAAAAACATAAAAGGAAAATTTCTGTTAAGTCATATTATTAACTTCCTTTGTGATGGAGGTTTAAGGTGCAGTTTTGAATATATATATATATGGCAAATATCTGTTCCTCTTAAAATTAAGATTCTTTTAGTAAAAATAACTTGAATACAAAAGGGTTTTTATTCAAAAAGGAATGCTGATGAACAATGTTTGTGTTCTTTGTGATAGAGGTGGAGAAAATAGTAATTACATTTTTCTTGATTGCGTGTATGTGTCATGTGAGGTCAATTTGGAACGCTGTCAAACATAAATTTGGTGTAAAAAATTTTTGTTGTTGATCAGATGGGATGTTTTTATGGGAAAACTTCACGACAAGCCAACAAAAGAAAGAGCGAAAACCGAAAACGAAGGGGAAAAAATACAATCACAAAAATAACGAGATTCGGCAATCAATTGAATTACGTATGTCCTCCTGTAGTTTCTCACAAAAATGCAGGACTTAAACGAGATTTGACAATCAATTTAATTACCTATATCCTCGAAATATAATCTGATCAATATATATCGTCTTAAATTTAGTTCCCATAATCATTACACCAAAACTTCGAAGTTATGGTGAGGATCAATGATTATAATTTTATATTAATTCTAACATGTACCCGCAGGTTAAGCACTCTTTTTTATGGGTCGAAACATGGACTCACGTAGCGGTGTCAATTTTTAGAAAATCCGCATTTAATTCGTGGCCAGTGGGATTTGAACCTGGGTTGCTCTGATACCCATCTTAAATCTAGTTCCCCTAACCATTACACCAAAACTCCAAAATCATAGTAATGATCAAGGATTATAGTTTTATATTAATTCTAACATATTGATATATGATAGAGTCTATCTAGAAGGCTGGGGAAAAACCTACTCCAAAAGCGCGGTAGTCCGTAGCTTAGAAAAACTAGCCTCTAGAAGGGGGGAAAAAAATCTGCACTCTAATTCTAAGATCAAACTACTGTAACTTCAGACTCACACTCGACGTGAGAAATTGAGTTGTAAGTTCAACCCCCATGAGAACTTTGCCAGCGTAGGACCCAACATGTTTATTGTAATTTTTTTTGTACGTACTGTCATGGTCTACAGTAGGCAACTGCAACTGTTTGCTCATTCGCATTTTTGTGGGAAACCGAATATAAATAAGATTTTTAATTTGCGCTCCTTATTCGCATCTTTTTTTTATATATAAGTATATAACTGCGTCTAAAATGACACGCTCATGCAACTGTAACTCCACGCATCAGAAGAGACAAGAGAGAGGGATTCAGCGTTCAAACTACACAAGCAAAGCAACTTTAGCTCTTGTCCGTCTCAACAATGAAAACCCCTGCATAAAGAATCAGAATATGAATAAAGGCGCCTCCTCTTTCCAATCTAAAGGTGCCGTTGCTATCAAAGATGAAAGGTGAGAGCAGGGAGGAGATGATGACTGTAAGAGGAAAGTGTACGGTCGAGCCAAAAAAAGGGAGGTAGTTTTGATGCACTAATTTTTTTTTTTTAAGGTAGCACAAAGATGCTCAAGTCCTTGTTGATGTGGGCTCGCCTGTTCGGCTGCAGGCGGAGCTGTGTTTGCTCCGGAGCCAATAGTTTACAGAAACCACGCCCTACATAGTTCTGTTGAAGTCCAGGAAGTGGCCTACAATCTTGAGTTTTGCAAGTTGCTCGCTGAGACGAGGACAGAGCAACAACCATAAGCAACCTGTGGGTGCTAGAGGTCAAGAGAGATCCAGTGGCATCCGAAGGAACCTGTTCCTATTTTATAAATCAAATTCCTCCAGGCCAGTGATATATAGATTGCTTGCACCTTGGAGGTGGTACGGTCCAGACAAATATTTTCAGACGGTACAAATCTGACAAGCATGCTGACTAGAGAAGTGGGGTCTCTTCAGTGCAGGTCAGATACTCAAAACAGCGAAAGGTTACATACTCTGACCGTGCTCAAGTAATGTGTGCGCCTAGTTGCTTGTGGTATAATGATTCCCAACAGTGCGTGATAAGTTTTGTAAAGCAGATGTGTTGGTAATTCACTAATTCAGCATGAGAATGCCAACGATGTAGAACACATTAATTAAACCTTGTTTCGTGCCGTATTCTTCGTAATGACAACAACATCAACCGGGAAAAAACATGAACACAAAGACCGCATATATAAAAGGAGAACCATACCCATATACAAAAAGAAAGTAAGCAATCCCTGTCCAGCGTGACCGACTCTTCAAATATCATCTTATAAATGTCGAGCGATGGTGAGCACAAACAGGCAGACCACGAAACACATATGTAAGTAACTCTACTTAAATCCTAGCATTGTAGTTCTTTCCTTCGTTTACCAAAGTGATTTTCTTCCGGTTCAAGAAGAACTTGGAAACACTCAGAGAGTAATTGTCACCGATAAATCCAATGCTCAGGTCCAGCATTGCGAGAAAAACACTTGGACTGCTGATTTATGTCCTCAGCTGTAGCCGCAAAGATGCCTTGCATTAGGAAGCACTTCAGATCAGCTTCTCACCTTTCAACAATCTCTTAACGTTAACAACTCCTCTTAAAATGTACTCGCAAAGCCGTTGCTTATGTTTATGTTCCCAAGTGAACTACCATAGTCTCTACTTCCAGTAGTCTGAAACCCACTCTTAAGCCAAGCAATAGCACTAAGATCTGAAGCTACTGCAGCCAACTCATGACTTGAAATGGGTGGAGTCTCAACAAAATCAATAAACTCAGGGCCCAACAAAGAACGTTTAGAACTTTCCTTGTTACTCCCACAACACCCATGTCCACATCTCGATGGAACCTCCGGTTCACAACAAATACAATCAAGTAACTTGCTGGTTCCACTGTTAGATATAGAGGGCTGGAAAAGTGATCCATGTGCTCCAGCTGGCCTAGAGAGTAAAGAACCACTTGATTGACCAGATGCAGGAGAATACATGCTGAAGGCGCTCACTCTCGCAACTGGCCTAAACAAGTAGGGCGGATCTTTAATCTCAGGTTCACAAGACTGAGCTTGATTCTGAATCTTATCCTCACTCTGATCACAAATATTTTCCCTTGCATTAAAATCTCTTCCTTCCACGGGCTTGAAAGAATTAGCATCCCCTAAGGATTGAGTTTCCTCTGAAGATCCTCTAGTTTTGTCTGCACTAGCATCTTCAGGAGAACAATAGGCTGTTCTAGAATGCTCTAATTCAAAGCGTCGACGTTTTAGAGTAGAATTCCAGTGATTCTTTATAGCATTGTCTGTTCTGCCTTCTAAAAGCCTTGCAATGGCTGCCCATTTGTTACCATGGACAGCATGAGCAGCAATAATTATTCGGTCCTCTTCCTCTGCAGAAAGCATGCATGCATATTAGAGTTGTTCAACAAGGATATTGAGGCATCATATGCTAAAACTGAGAAGATGCATTACGTTAAGAGGCGGAGACCTCATCTTATACATAACAATAGATGAATCCAACACCCAATCTTCAAAACATGAAATATCCAGCAACTTGGTAAATTTCTGAAAGTTCTGATTACACACTACAAGCACACAAGTGTACATTTCTACAAAATGCAGCTTAAGAAAAAAATAATATTTTTGGAATATTTCAAAATAATTGAATGCTACAAACATCAAGCTAGTTGTTCAGTATTTGCTAGATTTATCTAACCAAGACCCCTTTCATACCTGGCTACGTAATTCTCTCCAATCCTAGTACTCCTCTTTTCTACTAGAAAACCGACATGATGCTCACTTCACATACTTGTCTAAAAACATCATACTAGTTTTATATCTTCTCGGAATCAATATGATACTATGCAACATGTATGTATGTGACCATCATCTTAATCCTTAATCCATTAGAGTTGCTTCTAATAATGTGCTTGAGCAGGCTCAAAGCATTAACATCTTCTAACTACCTCTAATACGCTCCTACTACTAGTTTCCAATAAGAAAGGGGTACCATTTCGATATATACTACAGAAATCACCTCCACGTTTCCCCGTTCATTTATTCTTTGGGAAAACCAGTGAGCTTTAGTTTATTGATAACAAAGAAAGCTAAACTTTCAAATTTATAAGTACATGGGGATTGAAGGATGAGATTAAACTAGAAATTTGCGTAATGCCTCCTACTTCTGTATAGCGGCAACTAATCAAGCAACAACTCCACAAAATGTAAAGCACTCCCCTTAAATCTTCATAAAGTCTGGTTCTTTGAGTTGAAAACACGCTTGTTATCCAAATCCGCAAGCGATTGCAACGACCGTGCAATCTCATTTGTTTCTTTTATTAACACCATGATGATGAAAAACTCTTGCTTTCCTCAAGTCACCCACTCAAGTTGACTCAACCATTACCATTCTCTACTAGTTCGAAATTTCACACCCAACAAAGACTAACAAAAAGATCATCCAATTCTTTAGACAGCACATTCCATTATCATGTCAATTACTAGTGAACCATCGATCAAAAAAACAAACTTTAAACACAACAATTCAAAAAATTACAAACATCAGAGTGATTTTTACCAGTAAAAGGCTTGCGCTTAACATAAGGAGCAAGCTGATTACACCACCGAAGCCTGCAAGACTTCCCCGATCTCCCGGCGATCCCTCGAGCGATCAAGCTCCAATTCCGAGCTCCGAACTTGCTCACAAGCCTGCTCAGCACCGCGTCCTCCTCCGGCGACCACGGCCCCTTCACTCTGTCCTCCGCCGCCGCCGTCGCTGCTTCATTGCTTCCGTTGGCCAAATCATCGTCGTCCGCGATCGTGATAGCATCAGCAGCAGAAGCAGTAGGAGTTGATGCGATCATTGATCCTTCAGGTCTGGGTTCTTCCATCTTCGATCAAAACCAAGAAATTTCTCGATTTTGATTCTTTTTGGTTTTTTGAGATTTTTTTTTATTATTTTAGTTAGAACGAAGAACCGCCTAACTGTAATTTTTGATCCCGCTGGGGTTCGGTTGTATAGGGCAAATGTCCCGGAAACGGTTCATGTCAAACTCCTATTTTGCCCTTCGATATTTGGCTAAAGACCGATCAGTCCTCTGAGGCCCACCGCCCAAAATCCGTGGACATTTAAAACTTTTCGCAATGGATGGAACCGTATGGGCCTCGGCCCGCCAAATCTCCCCTTGGAGGTCGGGGTGCAAATCGTCAAGCCACTACTCCGATACGGTTCCTACTTGTTTACTAATTACGGATATGGAGACTGATCAAGCATGTGTTGGTAAGAAGATTTTATATTCATGTTTGCTAAAATCAAATATAGGTATAGATATACATGTAGACATATATGCGGATATACATGATGATAAGAAACGGATATGAGAAGATGAATATAGTTCACATGATGCTAGAAAGTTTATTAATGTGTTTGTTATATCTGAGAAACTACGAGTAGATCTCTTGCTCATCAAAATGTTGGATTTAATCTAATAAATCTATTTGTGGGCACATATGATTAATCAATGTGTATTGCTATCTTTCAGAATAACCCACTAAAGTGATCAATTAAGTTGGGTTAATTTGGTATTTAAATAAGTCATGGGGTTATATGTGCAGATACCAGGTTGTAATTGTAATTTATTGAGGGGCTAAATTACAAAAGTACAACATCTATAAATAAGGGGTTATGGTCCCTAACCTAGAGTTACATTCTCTAATTCTCTACACCCCCATCTAGCTAGAGAAATTCGGTTTTAGAGAGAACCCTAAGGTTAGAAGATCCAACACCCAAAATCAAGATCAAACAATGGATTCAGGTATAAGCTTCCGCTCTTTTAGATCCTTGTTAATCTCTTTGAATTAATCATGGCTATATGGTTTTAGATCTCAAGTTTTGATTTAGATCTAACAAGTGGTATCAGAGCCACCTTGATTAATTCTTAGGGATTTAAATTCTATTGGGTTTTTGATCTTAAATCTCTGGTTAAAGATTCAAATTTTTTGGGTTCGGATGAACAGTAATTTTTTTGGGTTCGGATGAACAGTAAATTTTTTTGGGTTCGGATGAACAGTAAAAAATTTTTGTTCGGATAAACAGTAACGAAAATTTTTTCGGGTGAACAGTAACTTTTTTGAATTTTTTGGATTTTTCTTTGATTTTTCCTTCAATTTTTTCCAATTCTGGATCTGTTTTGAAAATAAAAATCAAAGATTTTTTGTGTTTGACGGCGGCGGTTTCAGTTTGAAACCCTAAGGGTTCATGGCGAAAATCAAGGAGGTGGTTACCTCAAACGAACCTCGCGTTCGTTCAATTTTAACCGAGCCAGACGAACCTCGCGTTCGTACTTCAGACGAACCTCGCGTTCGTACTTCAGACGAACCTCGCGTTCGTACTTCAGACGAACCTCGCGTTCGTACTTCAGACGAACCTCGCGTTCGTACTTCAGACGAACCTCGCGTTCGTACTTCAGACGAACCTCGCGTTCGTACTTCAGATGAACCTCGCGTTCGAACTTCAGACGAACCTCGCGTTCGTACTTCAGATGAACCTCGCGTTCGAACTTCAGACGAACCTCGCGTTCGTACTTCAGACGAACCTCGCGTTCGTACTTCAGACGAACCTCGCGTTCGTACTTCAGACGAACCTCGCGTTCGTATTTCAGACGAACCTCGCGTTCGTACTTCAGTCGAGCCTCGCGTTCGAGCTTCAGACGAACCTCGCGTTCGTACTTCAGTCGAACCTCGCGTTCGAACTTCAGACGAACCTCGCGTTCGTACTTCAGACGAACCTCGCGTTCGTACTTCATTTGAACCTCGCGTTCATTATTTAAACGAACATCGCGTTCGTTCCCAAGTTGAACCTCGCGTTCTTTTATCAAACGAACCTCGCGTTCGTTCATTTTCAGACGAACCTCGCGTTCGTGCTTAAGTGAGTCTCGTACTCAATACAGTCGAACCTCGCGTTCGAAGTTAAGGGAACTTCGTGTTCATTATGGTTAAGCCTCGGCTTTTCATGGGTCCACTTTGGTATACTTAATTTATTCAATTAAGTTATGGGCCCTAATTAAGCTGTGAGACCCCAATTAAGTTTTTGGAAATTCAGTTGATTTAAATTTTTTAATTTAAATCTAATTCGGTTTTTAATCAATTATTTAATTCAAATATTATGACACTAAGGTATTAAGGTTGTCTCTCACTCCAATTGATTAATTGAAACAAGAAGTTGCCAAAGTAACCTCTCTTGTGTAGATTGTTCATGAGGAATGTGAGATGTTTTTGTGTATGCTTTCGTGTAAATATTTGTGTAGATTGTTCATGAGGAATGTGAGATGTTTGTGTGTATGCTTTCGTGTAAATATTTAATCGGCCCAAAGGAAGGTTAATATTTATTTAGACTGTATACACATCTGCGATGATAAGCGTGTGACAATTATAAGGTTTACATGTGAATAATGAATCGATCCAAAGATAGTTTCATTATTTGACATAAGTTATTGTCAATGTTTGATCATTGCAACAAGGTATCACTTACAAGTTAATATTACTGTCCAAAGACTTGATATTAATGTTGTGCCGGTATCTTGGATGGGAATTGTCATTTTTATATTAGGGATCCAGATACATCGAGATCGCTCTCGGGGTATTCTTGGATTATCACAAAAGAGCTATATCGATAAGGTACTTAAAAGGTTTGGCATGCAAGATTGCAGACCAGGTGACACCCCTGTTGCTAAAGGAGACAAGTTTAGTCTCAATCAGTGCCCTAAAGGTAACCTTGAAATTCAGGAAATGCAGAAGATTCCTTATGCTTCGGCTGTAGGAAGTCTAATGTATGCTCAGGTATGTACGCGTCCGGATATTGCGTACATTGTTGGGATGTTAGGCAGATACTTAAGCAACCCTGGTATGGATCATTGGATAGCAGTCAAAAGGGTTATGAGGTATCTTCAGAAAACAAAAGATTACATGCTCACATACAGAAAATCAGAGAAATTAGAGGTCATTGGGTATTCGGACTCTGATTTTGCTGGATGCCAAGATAGCAGGAAGTCTACATCAGGCTACATTTATATGTTAGCAGGAGGAGCTATATCATGGAAAAGTGTCAAACAAACACTAGTAGCTTCCTCCACTATGGCAGCAGAATTTGTAGCTTGCTATGAGGCATCCAATCAGGGAATATGGCTGCGAAATTTTGTCACGGGACTGCGCATTTTGGAAAATGTTGAAAGACCACTAAGGTTATATTGTGACAATAAATCTGCAGTAATGTATTCCAATAACAACAGGAGCTCAACTAAGTCAAAACATATTGACATTAAGTTCCTGGTTGTGAAAGAAAGGGTACAGAGTGGACAGATATCCATAGAGCACATTGGGACAAACTCCATGATAGCTGATCCTCTTACTAAGGGACTGCCACCTAAGGTCTTTCATGAGCATACTGCTCATATGGGTGTGGTATTATTTGAGGATATTATGTTTTAGTGGGAGTTTGTATTTGTGGTGCTTTATGTTTGTTTGTATTGTCTGATCAGAATAAAGTTTTCAGTTAAGACACTCTGTTACATTATGTTTGGTTTTGACCTCACTAAGGAGGACCAGTTGAAAATAGACATGTACTGATCACATTGCATGTAATTTTCATGCTGCACATCCATGATTGATCTATATCTTTTGATTGTATTGGTATATGTGACCATTGATGGGTCGAGTCACGATAAATGTGACGAATGCCGCTTTGATCCTATATTGATATAGTCAATGGACGAGATTGTTCGGAAATATCATTTCAGTGATAGCAATTTTTGAGCTCATAAGGTTATACACAGTTTAAGGAATCATATGGTGCCCAAGTGGGAGATTGTTGGATTTAATCTAATAAATCTATTTGTGGGCACATATGATTAATCAATGTGTATTGCTATCTTTCAGAATAACCCACTAAAATGATCAATTAAGTTGGGTTAATTTGGTATTTAAATAAGTCATGGGGTTATATGTGCAGATACCAGGTTGTAATTGTAATTTATTGAGGGGCTAAATTACAAAAGTACAACATCTATAAATAAGGGGTTATGGTCCCTAACCTAGGGTTACATTCTCTAATTCTCTACACCCCATCTAGCTAGAGAAATTCGGTTTTAGAGAGAACCCTAAGGTTAGAAGATCCAACACCCAAAATCAAGATCAAGCAATGGATTCAGGTATAAGCTTCCGCTCTTTTAGATCCTTGTTAATCTATTTGAATTAATCATGGCTATATGGTTTTAGATCTCAAGTTTTAATTTAGATCTAACACAAAAGTGACGTCAAATCTATTATCCTAATGATTAAAAAGTTTACAACTATATGAGTCTATGACCAACATATATTCAGATATTTTGAATACAAATGTGGGTATTTTTCACTACATATTTGTATTTGTAACTAAATATTATCGGAATATATATATACACACACACAAAAGGGAATGTTCATGGTTATTTTCATCGACAAAGCAAAGTTAATAGTATTTTTGCAGAACAAAATCATTTAAATTTCATTGTAAACTTTTAAAACTTACATTATATAAAATTCAGATTCCCATAACCATGGTACATCTGATGCAATATTTCGTGTCAAAAACACTAAACATCGTAATTAAAACATGGACATTAGCATTTGTTTCCCTCCCAAACTCTTTTCTCTCCCCTAGACTACATCCCCTATATACGGTCTCGTAAACTTCTTCTTGAGGTGGGCCCTGGGTTGTTGACTGGATCCCCTATATACGGTCTCGTAAACTTCTTCTTGAGGTGGGCCCTGGGCTGTTGACTGGATCGTGAGCAGGAACAGAAAAGGTAGGCGATGGGGTGAACGTTGGGCCAGCAACTAGAGCACGAGCAGGAGCAATAGATGGACTAGGCTTTGGGCTAGGAAATGGGCCAGGTGCAGCGCCGGAGCTCCGAAGCTGAGTCATTGCCTGATTAGGGTCCGACCAACGAACATGGCAGAGGTCTGGAAGTTGTATTCCTGTTTGCAAACAAAAACCAAGTATTACCATAAGAGTCAGAAAAATGATTAATTAAAAAAAATCCACCTTAACGTTTTTTTTATTATATAACTTTCATCCCATTTTGATTTATTCTAAAAGTAATAAAAGATTTTATTTCAAAAAGATGGTTATTTTCGATTACCCAACCTTGTATATTAACGTTGACATCGTAGAAAAAACATAAATTTTAAAGAAAATAAGACAGAAGCTTAAGCAACTAAAAAAACAAACTATTTTTCATCTACCTTCACCAGCTGCAAGATTATAATAGAGATCAATAATATTAGCGCAATGCTGAAAGCACTCCGGGGAGCATAATCTATCCAGGAACTGAGGCTCAAGCAGCGCATCGGATGAAATTCCCACCGAATTCCTTTCAACTCCACAATCTCTTATACACTGGTCACTCTCAACATGATCGAAGATTCTCCCGACGCCAATCTCTGACGTCTGACATTTGTACTCCGTTCGTCCGTCATCACGTCGATAGCTCTCCAAGACGCATCTTTTTGACGACAAGGAGACGGCAAATGCACATTGATCTTGTGGCAAATCCTCACATATTACACTAGCTGTAGAATGCGAAAACAATTAAACACGATTATTTCGAGAGATCGATAAATGCGTCGCTTGTACATACCACATGTCGATGGGATGAAGAGAAAGAGGGAGAAGGTGAGGACCAAGGGCATACTAGCCATCGTGTTCGGGCTCTCTTTGTGCAATTTCATCCTTAGATTTTGTGATTTTGTTCCTTGGTTTTAGAAGGAATGGGAGGGGAAAGAGGGAGCCTTTTGTTAAGGAGATGAAGAGGTTTGCCTTGTATGAAGGCATCCAAATTTAGGAGAGGCCGATAATCTAGGACTTTAATTGGTAAGATAAACATACGTACGGACTTGTGTTCTCTTTGTTTTAGATCATATATCTAATAGTTACAGCTATTCCCTACGATGAATACAATCCATAGAGATCGTGGTGCTCGTCGTGTTCGAACTGACACGGTCTCTATTGGATTTGCGTTCGCTGGTTACTTACGCCATGTTCCCTCATGCGCATCAGTAATTGGGCCTAACCAGGCCAAATTACTTGATATCGTCAAATAGGCCCAACAAACAACAGGAAGCAAAACTTCCAAGACGGCACCGGTACAGAACCAAAACTTCCAAGACAAAAAAAAGGAAGCAGAGCATCACACGAGCTCTGACCATCAACGAACTCCACATCCATGGCCACTGCCACAATCTCAACCCAACTCCTCTCTAAACTCACCTCCTCCCAGTTGATCTCTCGACTCTCAAGCAATTCTGTTATCACCAAAGAGAATCGCACAGCACAGTGCTGCGAGAGTTCATTGCGCTGCTGTTGAGACTGCAGCATCTGATGCAGAGACAAAGAAGGATAAGAGCACTTATGAGCTGCAGACTTTGACGACATGGTTATTGAAGCAAGAGCAGCAAGGGATTATCGACGCAGAGCTCACCATTGTGCTATCAAGTATTTCCATGGCATGCAAGCAGATTGCTTCATTGGTGCAGCGAGCGGGCATCTCTAATCTTACGGGTGTGCAGGGTGCTGTAAATGTACGAGGAGAGGATCAGAAGAAGCTTGATGTTGTCTCCAATGAGGTCAGATCTTTGAACATTTTATTGTTACAAACGAATAGATCTCAAACAAGCTCATTCCATAGTTTTCCTTCGTAGACTCAGAACACATGAAATAGCAAGTTTTTCGGTACATATGAGCGTGATTAATTACAAATATGTCAAAATGAACGAAAATGAGCAAATATCGTTGATTATTGCCCGTAAAATCGCAAATTTTGCATTACGCTTAGTTAATCTTTCTTGGGTTGAAACAAACAAACATAGACCAAAATCATGGGTTAAGCAATAAAAATCGTAAATTTGTAAGTAGTCATTAATCATTGCCATTGGGTCAAAACGATCAAAAGTTAATGAAAATTAATAAAAAATGAGTTACCTGACAAAAATCACGAATTTCTAAAGTACACATAATTAGTGGACATTAAGTTGAAACACAAAAAATGTCGTTTATAACACATGAAAATTGTGATTTTCGTAGTGTACACCTAATTAATTGTCATTAGGCCCAAAAAGACAAAAAAGGACAAACTTCGTGGGTTTGAAGTCCATGAAATTTGTAAAAATCATTGGTTATGCCCATGAAAATCTTAATTTTTGAAGCACGTATAATTACTTGTCATTGGGACGAAACTAACAAAAATTGCCAAAATTATGGATAATGATCCATCAAAATCGAGAATCTTGAGTATTATTCAAAATAATTAGCATTTGGTTGATTAAAAAATAATGGACAAAAATTGTGGGTTACAGTTCATGAAAATCGCAAATATTAAATTCAAACAATCAATTGCTATTTGGCCGAAACAAACAAAGATGGACAAACCATATAGTCCACGAAAATCACAAATGTTGAAGTAAGTATATTTATTTTCCATTGGGTCAAAGAAAGAAATTTGAAAAAAAATTCATGAATTTCGAAATATGCATAATTAGTTGTCATGTGGTCAAATCCAATGAAAATAGACAAAAATTATAGATTATAGCCCATGAAAATTGTAAATTTTTAAGTATCAAAATTGCCAAAATCGTGGCTAATATCCCATCAAAATTCTAAATATTGAAGTGGTCATAATTAACTATCGTTGGATTAAATGAAATAGATGGACAAATTTGTGAGTTATAACCCATAGAAATCACAAATAAATATTGAAGTCCCCAATATTTATTGTTATTGAGTCAAAACGAAAAAGGACAAAATCATGAACCATAGTCCATGAAATCGCGAATGTTGATGCGCAAATAATTATTTGCCATTGGGTTAAGGATGAAAATTAAGAAAAATCATGAATTACAACCCATGAAATCACAAATTTTATAGTACGTACAATTACTTGCCATTGGTACGAAACAAACAAAAATTAATAAAATCGTGAGCTATAACTCATCAAAATCATGAATTTGTAAGTAATCATAAATAATAGCCAGTAGGTCGAACAAACAATAATGGAAAAATATCATGGGTTATATAGCTTATGAAAATTGTGAATATTAATGTTTACACAATTAATTTATTGAGTCGAAACGAACAAAAGAGGACAAGACCCATGGACTATAGCCCATGAAACTCATGAACATAAAAATACTTATATTTATTTGTCATTTCGTCGAAAAAAATTGAAAAAAATCACGGGTTATAGCCCATGACAATTGTAACTTTTTATGAAAGACAATGTTATTTGTTATTGGATTAAACTAACAAAAATAGACTAAAATTGTGGATCATAATAACATATGAAAGTCATGAACTTTTTCATACATGTGATCAATTGTCATAATTAATTGCCAATGGGTGAGTGAATGACAATGAACAAAACTCATTGGTTATAACCTATGAAAATCACGAGTATTTAAATTTGCACAATTACTGACTACTAGGTTGAAACAAATAAAAATGGAAAAAATCATGGACTATAAACCACAAACAATACGAATTTCATCGTATGCATACTTATTTGTTGTTAGGTCAAAGAAAGAAAATTGGTAAAAATTATAGGTTAGAACCCATCACGAATTTTGAAGTACGTATAAATACCTGTCATTGGGACAAAATGAACAAAATTACCAAAATCATGGGTCATAACCATCAAAATCGCGAATTTATAAGTAGTAGTAAATATTGTTCTTGGGCAGAATGGATGATAATTGACCAAAAACGTGGGTTATAGCCCATGAAAATCGTAACTATTGATGTTCGCACTTTTAATTGCTATTGGGTTGAAACGAACAAAATGGACAATAATCATTAACTATAAACCTGTGAAATCACAAATTTTGAATTACATATATTTTTTGACATTGGGATGAAGAAAGAAATTTGATAAAAACTGTGGGTAATAGTTCATAAAACTTACAGTTTTTATGAAACAAAATTTACTTGTAATTGGGTCCAAAATTGACATAAAATCCTTTGTTATAGATAATGAAAATTGCATTTTTAAGAAATAAAACTTAATTATGATTGGGTTGAAAGCAACAAAAATTAACAAAAATCATAAGTCATATCCAGTAAACTATGTGAATTTTAAAGGTACGCATAATTAAATGTCATTTGTCCAAACAAACCAAAAATTTGACAAAACAATCATGGCTTATCCCATGAAAATTTCTTATTTTGAAGTACATATAAGTACTTGTCATTAAGATAAAACAAACAAAAATTACCAAAATCATAGGCTATAACCCATAAATGGCAATTTTTGTAAGCATAATTGATTAAAATAGGCGAATGAATGAATGGACAAAAATCATTGGTTACTCATAAATACATGACTATTTAAGTTTGTACAATTACTTACTATTAGGTCAAAACGAACAAAAAATGACAAAAAAACATGAACAATAGTCCATAAATATCATGAATTTTACTGTTGGGTCGAAAAACAAAATTTGATAAAAATTATGGATTATAGTTCATGAAAATCGCGAATTTTAAAGAATGTATAAATACTTGACATTTGGAAGAAACGTACAAAATTACCAAAATCGGGGATCACAATCGTGAATTTGCAAGTAATCATATATAATTATGATGGGTCGGATGAATGATAATAGAAAAAAATCATGGATTATAGCTCATGAAAACCACGACTATTGATGTTTGCATAATTAATAGTGATTGGGTCGAAATGAACAAAAATGGATAAAAATCATGAACTATAGCTTACAAAAACCACAAATTTTGAATTACACATACTTATGTCATTAGGACAAAGGAAGAAATTTTGATAAAAATCACAAGTTATAGCTTATGAAAATCATGAATTTTGAAGTGCATTAGGACGAAATGAACAAAATTCACCAAAACTGTGGGTTATAACCCTTCAAAATTGTGAAGTATTGACGTTTAACCAATTAATTATGATTGGGTTAAAAACAAACAAAAATGGATAAAAATCATGAACTATAGCCAAAGTTACATACAAACTTCGTCCAGGCTGTCATATCTATGTCCAAGAGTTCTCGTATCCGTATCCATGTCGGACGCTCCTTGGACACTTATATATGAACATTTATTCAGATGTTTACTCAATACATAACACATGTTTTAGGTTACAACAAGCCTCGTGATACACTTTTAAAACATATATCGTAGACTTACCTCAAATTTATACAACACGTTGGACTCAAGAATGATTCGTTTGAGCAAATGCCTAGTTCATACGTATGATTTTAGATTGTTTGGATATCTAGTTCAAAACACAAGTGGTATGGCAATTTATTATATACTCAATAAAGAAACATAAAAACGGTATAAGAATTTTAGTTCTCATAACATGTGAATCCAAAACAATATCAATTTCATATAGATTATTAATTTTACTATGTATGTATATAGTGGTGTCCCCGTATCCTAACCTTTACAATTTTTCCATATCCCGTATCTGCACCCGTGTCCGTGTCCGCACACGCACCTGTATCCATGCAACATAGACTATAGCCTATGAAAACCCATGAATTTCGAATTATGTACACTTTTTTATCATTTGGATGAAGAAAGAAAATTGATAAAAATCAAAGATTATAGCTTATAAAAATCGTAAAATTTGAAGTACGAACAAATACTTGTCATTGGGACGAAATGAACAAAATTTACAAAAATTTTGGTTTATAACCCTTCAAATATGTGAATTTGTAAGTAGTTGTAAATAATTATCTTTTGAGTAAAATAAATGATAATAGACAAAAATCGCGGATTATAGCCTACGAAAATCGCACCTATTGACGTTCACACAATTAATCACTATTGGGTCGAAATGAAAAAACGGACGAAAATCATGAGCTGTAATCCATGAAAATCATAAATTTTAAATCGCACATTTATTTGTCATTAGGACAAAGAAAATTGATAAAAAACCATAGGTTATATAGCACATGAAAGTCATTTTTTATGAAAAAAAATTAACTATCATTAGGTCAAAAAATAAAAAAGAAATCTTTTGTTATAGACATTGAAAATCATGAATTTTTACAAAATAAAACTTAATTCCCATTGGGTCAGAACCAACAAAAATTACTAGTTAGCAACTCATAAAATTCACAAATTTTGAAGTATGCATATTTAATGATAATAGACAAAATTCATGGTTTATAGCCCTAGAAAATCGCGACTATTTAAGTTTGCACAATTACTTACTACTGGATTGAAATTAACAAAAACGAACAAAAATTATGGATTATAGCCTATAAAAATCACGAATTTAAAAGTAAGCATATTTATCGGCAGTTGGATAGAACAACGAAAATTCATAAAAATCATTGGTTATAGCCTATGAAAATTGTAAATTTTATAGTGCGTATAAATACTTAGCATTATGACGAAATGAACAAAATTTACCAAAATTGTGTGAATTTGCCAAAAGTCATAAATAATTGTCCTTGGTCGAATGAATGATAATGGACAAAATATTGTGAGTTATCGCCCACGAAAATCTCAACTACTGATTTTGCACAATTAATTGCTATATCGCCCACGAAAATCTCAACTACTGATTTTGCACAATTAATTGCTATAGAGTCGAAACAAATAAAAATAGAAATGAATTTCGAATTACTCATCTTTATTTGCCATTGGGACGAAGAAAGAAAATTGATAAAAATCATGGGTTATAGGCTTATATGCCACCAAAATCACGGACTTTGAAGTACGTGTAAATAGTATCATTGGGACGAAAGGAATAAAATTTACCAAAATCGTTGGTTATAGCCCATCAAAATCATGAACTTGTAAGTAGTCATAAGTAATTGTCCTTGGGTCGAATAAATAGTAGTGAAGAAAAATCATGGATTATAGCCCATGAAAATCGCGACTATTGATGTTCGCACAAGTAATCGCTATTGGCTCGGAACTAACAAAATTAGACAAATTATGAATAATAACTCATGAAAATCATGAACTTTGAATTGCATATTTATTTATCATTGAGGCGAACAAAGAAAATTGATAAAAATCATGGATTATCACTTATAATTTTGAATTTTGAAGAACATATAAATACTTGCTATTATGATGAAGCAAACAAAATTCACCAAAATCATGGGTCAAAACCCATCAAAATCATGAATTTGTAAGTAGTAGTAGAAAATTGTTCTTAGGTAGAATGAATGATAATAAACAAAAATAGTGGGTAGAATGAATGATAATAGACAAAATTAGTCCATTAAGATCGCACCTATTCATGTTTGCACAATTAATTGTTATTGGGTCGAAACAAACAAAAATGGACAAAAATCATGAAGTAGAGCCCATGAAAATCACAAATTTCAAATTACATGTATTTATTTGTCATTGGGACGAAGATAGAAAATTGATAAAAACTATGGGTTATAGCCCATAAAAATTGTGGTTTTTGTTGAAAGAAACTTTAAGTTTCATTTGGTCAAAACTACCAAAAATAAACTAAAACCAATTGTAGGCCTAATGCAAAGAACATAGCAAACATTGTGCAAGTTTATGTTTCACTATTGAATATGTAAAGTACAATCAAATATCAGTCTGAAGAAATTTCAGAACAGAACTTGCTTAAACCTAATGCTGAAGTTTACTAGTTTTTGAAAGAGTTGTTCAATATAATATTGATGACAATCATGACATGCACAGTTGTATATACAATTAGCTGTCCTTTTATAAGACTTACTACAGCGGTAGTTTTCCTTCTTTAGGATTAGTGTAGATAACTTAAACTCTGTGTGTGCGTGCGTGTGTATGTGTACAAATTTAATCAAAATAGATTATGATTTCATCTTTTAAGCAAACCAATGTTAATCAAAGCTTAATAACATCATAAAAGAAGAGCAAACAACCCCTGAAGAAGTATGCCAGATGTTGAACAAGACTAACCAACTCAAAATATTGCACTTCTATCAAAATGCATCTATGCTAAGTTGCTAGCACATTTTAAACGTGCAGGTTTTTTCAAATTGCCTAAAGTCCAGCGGGCGAACAGGGATAATTGCATCAGAGGAGGAAGACGTACCAGTGGCAGTCGAAAAGAAAGCTACTCCAGCAACTACATTGTGGTCTTTGATCCCCTCGATGGATCTTCTAACATCGATGCTGCTGTATCAACCGGATCCATCTTCAGTATCTACAGCCCCAATGATGAATGTCTTGCTGACATTGATCAAGACAGTAATGTAAGCAACTAATCATTTTATTCAGAGTCATTTGCGATTTACACAAAAAAGAAATTCACACTTTCAACTTCAAAACCCAAGAGTTTTGTTTTCGCAATTTGATACCCCGAAGCGTAAAAAAGCTGACATTGGTCTTTGTTCAAGAAAGTCAACATAGAAAAGTGAATGAGAAACAAATTTTCTTACCAATTTTAGTTTTTCGTGTTTGGGTGAAGTAAGGAACAAAGTTAGGGCTTAATTTGGGGAATCAAATTGTCAAATTGATGTCAATTTAAAAACTTTTGCGTATCAAATTGCCAAAATAGAACTTCATGGGTATCAAAATTAAAACAGAGAGAGAAACTCCGCGGTACTAAAGTGCAAGAACCCTTACATTTGCGAAGAACATCAACTAATTATTTAAGAAAAAATATGTTGCAGCTTGATGAAACAAAAGAAAGATGTGTGGTAAGTGTATGCCAACCGGGGAGCAATCTTCTTGCTGCGGGATACTGTATGTACTCAAGCTCAGTAATATTCGTTCTGACAATAGGAAAGGGTGTATACGCCTTCACATTTGATCCCATGTATGGGGAGTTTGTGCTGACACAAGAGGAGTTGAAAATACCGAAGGCTGGAAAGATATACGCCTTCAACAAGGGAAACTACATGCTATGGGATGAGAAACTGAGGAAGTACATGGATCATCTTAAGGACCCAGAGCCTACAGGGAAGCCTTACTCAGCTAGGTATATCGGGAGCCTGATCGGCGATTTTCACAGAACACTGCTCTACGGTGGAATTTATGGGTACCCAAGGGATAAAAAGAGCAAGGATGGGAAGCTAAGGTTATTGTATGAGTGTGCTCCGATGAGCTTTATTGTTGAACAGGCCGGAGGGAAGGGGTCAGATGGCTACGGGAGGATACTGGATATCAAGCCTACAGAGGTAAATAGAAACCATCCACAACTTGCTTCGCCAAACTCAGTCTCAATACGGTACGATCTCCAATTTAACGACACGCTGCAATTTTCAAAATGGTCCCATCAAACTCAGGCCCGTATGTTTTCTGAGCCCTGTTTTTCAAAATCGACCTCTTTTTGGCCTATTGACCAAAAAGAGGTCTATTTTGTTAAATATTTAGCAAAAGTGGTCTATTTTGCTAAATATTTAGCAAAAGTGGACTATTTTCAAAAATTCCCTTTCTTAATTTTTATAAACAAGATATTTGCCCTGAGATCATAAGTTCAAATGCTACCAAAAACTTGGAACAGGCATGGGTAACTTCAACATACAACGATCATTTTATTTTAGATATTAATGCAATGGATCTCTTCTCTTATCCATCTAACTTCTACGCGTTTATCGACGACAGATTCATCAGAGAGTTCCTGGCCTGATCATCTCTCTCTCTCTCTCTCTAATTTCTTCATGTTTATCCAACTATAATACCTAACTATTATTTTATTGCTACAAATAGACGCGTGGATCTCACCTCTTTGAATCGCGATCAATCTCCCCTCTTTGAACCAGCCTTGGGCCTCTGATCCCCCAGGCTTTTCCAAGCCTCCCACACCCTGCGTGACAAATTCCATTCGGAATCGAACTCAACAACGAGGGAGCTGCAGTCGATCGGAAATGTTGAGATCTGAAACCGGAAGGAACTGCGCTGCTTCGAACATCTTCTTCTTTGGACCCGCTCCGATTTCTTTGGGTCCGCCACGTCAGCAGCAGCAGGAGCAGGAGCAGGGGTCGAGGAGCTCAGGGCTCCGAAGGGATTGACGGAAGAAAACAAAAGCTTCTCCATCTTTCGCTGCTCCGCTCGCCAACGCTGTCGTTTCCCTTTCCCCTCCTCCCCCTCCCCCGAGGAGGATCCTCTCAGGCTTCACGGGTTTAGCGAGCAACAAGCCGAAAAGGCCCAGTTTGTGGCCCATCTATTGTTAAAATGGGTCAAAATAGGCCGAAGGGAGGGAGAGCATGGGATAAAACGTACACAACGTGGGCCCATTTCTGCGGATTGCTCGCCTCTCTGCAACTCTGACCCGCCGTATAACAATTGTGAAGTAGGAGGTGCATAAATAATTCACTTCTTTTATTAAGGAGATATCTACCTCACTGGTAGACCGGCTAATTTTAATTCTACTCCGCAACATGAATCTTCTTCCAGAGTTGGGAGAAGAAAACAGAAAAGTTTAGAAACCACGGTCACATATCTCAACCAATGCTGACTCTCCCTGAAAGCAAAAACGCACGGATTTCCACAAGAAATTTACACTATGCTCATTCAGTGAGAAAAACAAAAGCTGACAATTTCAGGAAATCCCATTTCCCACCCCCAACAGAGGGCACTCATAATAGAAGAAATAAGAGGTCATACACCAAATTTATGCCAATCCAACAGCATAAACCATACTAGAAACCATCTCACTCATAATAGAAGAAATAAGAAGTCATACACCAAAGTCAAAACATATATATTCCCATGACATACCAATATCCTAAACTAAGAACAGAACAGAACAGAACAGAGCAAGCAAATTGTAGCCCATACAACAACTTCCAACAACAAATACGAAGTAATAATACTCGGAGCATAAACTGGCAACAGGAAGTTGCAGCAGCGGGCGGAACTCACTGCTCATACATCTCTTCTCCAACATCCTCATCCTCATACTCTTCTTCATCAGCAGTCGCATCCTGATACTGCTGATATTCCGAAACCAAATCGTTCATATTACTCTCAGCCTCGGTAAACTCCATCTCATCCATACCCTCCCCAGTATACCAATGCAAGAAAGCCTTCCTCCTAAACATAGCAGTGAACTGCTCACTTACCCTCCTGAACATCTCCTGAATCGAAGTCGAGTTCCCAATGAAAGTCGAAGCCATTTTCAACCCAGTGGGAGGAATATCACAAACAGTCGATTTCACATTGTTAGGAATCCACTCAACAAAGTACGAAGAGTTCTTGTTCTGGACATTGATCATCTGTTCATCGACTTCTTTGGTGCTCATTTTGCCTCTGAACATGGCTGAGGCTGTTAGGTATCTACCGTGTCTTGGGTCAGCAGCGCACATCATGTTCTTGGCATCCCACATTTGTTGAGTGAGCTCGGGTACTGTCAGAGCTCTGTATTGCTGGGAGCCACGGGAGGTCAACGGAGCAAAACCCACCATAAAGAAGTGAAGACGAGGGAAAGGGATGAGGTTGACAGCCAGCTTGCGGAGGTCAGAGTTCAGCTGACCAGGGAACCTGAGGCAGCAGGTTACTCCAGACATTGTTGCAGAAATCAGATGATTTAAGTCTCCAACTGTTACAAGGAATGACAAATACAAAGTGAGACAAGTATCTCTAAACAAGGGTTATTTGCCGATTTGGCACAAATGTTTATCTATTTTATTAGCATGTATAATCCTGGCCCTCTGACGCCGTGTTTTTCCCCATTAGATTTCATTAAGGTATCAGGCGATGGTCAAAGTTAGATGTTTGCTACCTAGTGATTCTAACTTGAGTTCTCACATATGGCCTGATACATCGGGTATATCTGAAAGTAATGCTTTAAACAAAGAGATATATCACAGATTTGAAAGAGGTTTTGCTTACAGCTGGGCGTTGTGAGCTTGAGGGTCCTGAAGCAGATGTCATAGAGAGCTTCATTGTCCAGGACCATACACTCATCAGCATTCTCTACGAGCTGGTGAACTGATAAGGTTGCGTTGTAAGGCTCCACCACCGTGTCTGAGACCTTGGGAGAAGGGAAGACTGAGAATGTGAGCATCATACGATCAGGGTACTCCTCTCTGATCTTTGAGATGAGCAGGGTTCCCATCCCCGATCCTGTTCCACCTCCAAGGGAGTGACATACTTGGAATCCTGAAATTTTACCAAATAGCAAAGTTTAACCGGATGAAATGGCTAACCATACATTAACAGATAAAAGATACCAATGTGCATCAACAGGGAAGGGTCTACTTGCGTTACCGATTCATTAAAATAATAGATTAGACCATGTTCAACATATGCACTCCCCATGACTCCAACATTTCCCTTGGGAGCACAAATTTGAAAGACAGTACAAAGTTTTACAGAGACCATTGAGCATCATCAAAGCGTAGTCCGAAACTTATGTTAATGTTTCATAGCATGAATTTATTAAGACGCTATTTGTTAAACCTACAGTACTGTTCAGCAAAAGGTAAAAATATCATACACCTCACAAATAGCAGCATAGACCTCATAAAACCACACAAATACCTTAATACGTAACAAAATTCAGAAAACCGAGTGAAGATCTAAGCAGTCAAATCATCAAACGCCTTGAGCGCAATTAATCGAAAATTCTAAATGCCCGAACCGCGATATAATGCATCAATTTTTAGAGATATTAACTGGATGGTGACAAAATTTAAACATCAAGCTACTTCAAAACGTGAATTCACGCCAAAGTAAGAGCAAGTGCAGCAAGCTCCCAGTTAGGAGTCCTAGTCAGCAAGCTCTCAAGAGCTCTCAAGCATTTTAGATTAAAAAATTAACAAATTAAGTTTTGGGAGGCACTCCTTTTTTTATGGAGCTCCAACAAGCTCCTAGTTAGGAGCTCCAACAATATCAAAAAACCCCTCTTCTATTTTCATAACTCAACGGTAAAAATTTTTTTCACTCAATGGTTCATTTTCTACCCTCAACGGTTCATTTTTTCACTCAGTCTCATTTATTACACTCAACTGTTCATTTTTTCACTCAACTGTCATTTTCATTGTGAATAAATTCCTCTCAACAACGCCAAATCCCCAATTAAAAAATAAACTTCATCCTCTCCCTTCGACAGACAACTCCACCCCCAAATCCTTTCCTTCGACCGAACCCAACCCCAAATCATCTCCGACCCGACGCAACCCCACCCCAAATCCACTTCGCCGCCATCATCTCCGACCCGACCCGAACGCCGCCATCATCTCCAGCGTCGGCATCATCACCATCGTCATCGGCACCCCAGTCTGAGGCCTCTTCGCCGCCAGAATCATCCCTGCGCTCCACAAACTGGTAAGGGGTAGTTTTGAGGGGGGTTTTTGTAAATTTTTGGCAGTTGGGAGCTCCCAAGCGCTCCACAAATTTGTGGAGCGCTTGGGAGCTCCCAAGCTCTCAATGTCCACGTCAGCCACATAGGCCTTGAGAGGGGGCGCAAGGAGCTCCTTGGGAGCTTGCTGGAGGGCTTACAAACTTGACTTCTGCCACATAGGCCTTGAGAGGGGGTGCAAAGAGCTTGCTGCCCTTGCTCTAAGAACATACAAATACCAAAGCACGTGACAAAATATCAAACACCTTGAGAGCATCAATTCAAAATCCTAAATATCTAAGACGACTTACAACACACCAGATCTTTCAGATCTAAATCCGACAGTACCAAAAATTAAGCATCGAACTGCTTAAAATATCCATAATACGCCTACGCCACCCAAAATCACACAGAACTAATAAGCATGTAAGTAATCATACCAAAAAAATATGAACATATCTCAACTTCAGGTCTAATCATTTCGAGATCTAGCAAAGAAACCATACCTTGCAAGCAATCACAATTCTCGGCCTCCTTCCTCACGACATCAAGAACCGAATCAATGAGCTCCGCGCCCTCAGTGTAGTGCCCCTTGGCCCAGTTATTCCCAGCCCCGGACTGGCCAAAGACAAAGTTATCGGGCCTAAAGATCTGGCCATACGGCCCGGATCTGATCGAATCCATCGTCCCCGGCTCCAGATCCATCAGCACCGCCCTCGGCACGAACCGGCCGCAGCTCGCCTCGTTGTAGTACACATTGATGCGCTCGAGCTGCAGATCTGCGTCTCCGGTGTATCGTCCGGTCGAGTCGATGCCGTGCTCGGCGCAGACGACCTCCCAGAACTTGGCGCCGATCTGGTTCCCGCATTGGCCCCCTTGGATGTGGAGGATTTCCCTCATTTTCTTTTGACGAGATCTGGAGGGCGAGGGTAGTTAGGGTTTTTCCTGTTTCCCCTTTTTCGCCTTGAGGACGGAGGGGTAGGGGGAAGGGAGCGACTGGGGCAAGTTGAGGGGGAAGGGCGGGGTTATATAGCGAGGGAGTGGGGTTTGGAAATGGACGGCTGGGATTTAGCGTGGGGAACGGTAGGGAGAGAGACGGTAGGATGCGGAGGGAATTTGAATTTCGAATTTTGAATTTTGGGGGGTTATTACAGCTGGATATTAGTAACGGACGGATAGGGAGCAGGAGGATGGATGGTCAAAGCAGCGAGCGGTTTTAGCTGGAAAAGTGACTAAAATAGGCTTTTGGCCGGATTATAAAATTTGGTGCTCCTAAAATATAATTTTATTTAATTTTTATTTAAAGGGCAAAATTGTAATTTTCGATCAATATTTCTTACCCCCGGATCAGACCCGTGTCTTCAACCTCCGCTTCCTGCTCTCCGAATCCTCCAGCCTCATCAAAGCAACTGCTTCTAGAAACCGCGACGGCGATCTCGGAGAGCAACCTCGAGGTCGCCGCCGCGAATCTCGCCGCCCTAAAACGCGCGGGGAACCCCCGCGGCGACCCAGACCAAAGGCTGGCCTTAATGATGATCTCCGCTCTAATCGCGCGCATAAACTCGCCGCCGTCGGCGACCCTAACCCCGCCGGCTTCAGAGCTCTGCAGTCTAGAACACCAAACAGCGATCCAGATGCTCTACGACGCTTCCCCCATCTTCAAACTCGGCCACGTGGCGGCCAACTTCGCGATCCTCGACGCGGCAAGAGATCACCCGAAGATCCACATCGTCGACTTTGATCTGAGCCAAGGAGTCCAGTACGCTTCGTTGATTAACGCCGTCTCCGAGAGATCCCGTCACCGCTCGCTCACGCTGCTAGTGAACATAACTGCCGTTTGCGACCCAACTATGCCGTACAATACTCCGAGCACGGTCAACAACCTGAAGATCATCGGCGACAAGATCGTCACGCTGGCAAGCCGGTTCGGAGTCCCGGTCCGGTTCAGCGTTTTGAACCGGAGGGCGTCGGAGCTCGAGCGGGCGTCGCTCGGGTGCGAGGCCGGCGAGTGCTTGGCGGTGTATCTGTCGTTCGCTCTGTCGAGGATCGCCGACGAGAGCGCTTCCCCGGCGAACCCGCGGGACCAATTGCTCCGGCGAGTGAAGTCTCTCGGAGCCGACATTGTCAAGCTCGTCGAGCAGGAGATGAACGCCAACACCGCGCCGTTCGCGACCCGGTTCGGTGAAGCCTGCGGTCACTACGGCTCGGTCCTCGATTCGCTCGACGCGACGATGAGCCGGGACGATCGGGGCCGGTTCAGGATCGAGCGTGCGCTCGGTCGAAAGGCTAGCAACTCTGAGAAGGGACACACCTTTGTCTTGAAGGCAAGCTGCAGTGGCTAAGCCAGATGGTCCTGCTCCGATGATAATGGGTCCAGGAACCCAAAATTGCTTCGGAGTTGATTCCACATATCCAGCAAGTGGCTCATTAAGATTGAATTCTAGAGCTGCGCACGGGTTTTCGTTTGTAGATTAGTTGGCTATAGAGGAGTAAGCAACTGATGACTTGGAATCAAGGAATATTGTAGGAATTGCAAGTGGGTTTCAGATTCTGAGGCTAAAATTCTATTGCAAACTGTGGTGGCTTCAGTTGTGATTGCAGGAAATAAAGGCGGCATGAGGAAGACGGTGGCAAATAATCTAAATATAACTGCCCCTCAAAACCAAATAAATTACCAATTTGGGTGTGGTACTTCACGAAACCGATCATAGCGTTTTATGGGGAAATAAGAGAGCGACAATATCGGACACTAATTACCATTTGTGCCATGGGTACTCCAAAATTGATTTTTTGGAGCACCGAAGTTGTCAGCTTATAAAAATTGGTGCGATGAATAGTTAAACCAGAAATAAAGGGCAAAAAGGTCAGCGCCAGAGAAATTATAGAAGGAGATTTAATTATGGAAAGTTGTTAATTAGGCGTGATGACAAGTTTTGATGACGGCTTTAGGAGAGTTGGATTTGGTTGAAGAAATTTGTTAATCATGTACGGCTTCATATCTAGCAAAATGTTCGCTTGTTCCTCGTCAGAAGATTAGGGGCATAATATCTTTTGAGTCATGTATCGGCTGTTGTTAATGTCCAGCAATATGTTCACTCTTCTCCCTTGTTCTGTTTTAATGGTAGCTCTATAGTTTTTTCATATTAGTCCCTTACATCTTTAGAATTTTGATATTAGTCGATATGATCTCTGAAGCTTACCATAAAGAATATCCAAGGAAAATGAGTTGAAACATGAACAAGATTTCAAGAACCAGGTGACTGAACTCCACGGGCTTCTATGGAGTTCAACTTAAATAGTTGATCAGAGAACCAACAAGTTCTCGATTAGTGCATCCACTTTCAGCACCAGCCAGTCTTGGTATCTATGTAAAGACCATCAAATCCTTCTGTGAGATTGAAAGCAAGAACTAGTTCAGGAACGCAACCTTAGTAATTTCAGAGATAAATCCTTCGTAGCAGATAAAAGATTTTTATACTAATGGAGATGATGAAATAAAGCTGACGTAAAGGATGGAAGAAAGGGAGCCTAAGAAATGAAATTACTCGAGTTAGATTAGTTCCGAAGTAACCACTGACTACTCTCGATGATTTCCAGGTGAGTTCTCATTTCAACCTTAAGAGAGTTAGGAAATGAATGTTGTTGGGGCTTACACAAGTGGGGGGTACTTTGGCAATTAGACACCCATGGTTAGTCTGATTGGGAGTTTTCAGTTTTGAATGGAAAAATTAACAGAATGACTGATATTAACACAATAATAAAAATTGAGGGACTAATATGAACATATGAAGATTTGAGGGACTATGTCAAAATACCCATAACGTAAAGGACTAATATCTAAAAATATCGTATCAGATATTCCTCCTTTCAGAGGTTTGTGCTCTGACAGCATATACCCTATACACACGCGTGCGATATCCTCGCCGGTAATTGAGATCATGCTCAAACACGCATCAGCAAATACATAAAACCTTGCAACTTTATCAGATAAGAAGATATTGGCCCTAAAACATTTGAGAATTTTCTAATTGTAGCTGCAACTGTGCCAATCTGAGCGATAATCATAATGGGGAGCTAACTTCCTAAGACAAAACGGTGAACGTTAGGCATCAGTTATTGCAAAATTGAAAATGAAGAGCAAGCATCATCGCCCACGCATTACTCCCAACATTCGATCAAGAATCCAAAATTACATCAATTTCAATGCGACACATTCTAGTCGCCATTGGCAAGTCACAAGGTATACATCGGCAAGTCACAAGTGGAATACCGCATGAACTTCCGACCAAAACAAATGGTATTACAAGTCTTGGAAATAGATTTGCAAGTAAAATTCACTTTATTAAGGTCAACTATTACAACAGAGTCTGCTAACAACGACAACAATTAACCTCAACAATTAACCACGCCTGTCTAAAGAATAAATACATACAAGAAAAGGAAAAGGATAAAAACTTCACCACAACACTTAGGACTAGACATTTGCGAGCACATGTTGCACACAACTCCTGAGAACAAACATTTGAAACACCCAGAAACAAGCTAATGCGAACAACCACATCAGATCCAGAAGTTTCAGGGTCAATCTTTGTTTCAGCAGTAGATTACAGAGCCAGAAGCAACAATCTGAGAAATATAAAACAAAACCAAACCAAAAAGAGAGAGGGGTAGAGAAATAGGGAAAAGGCTTCTATGATGGCGTGTAAGTCATAGGTAGCAGGATGGTGAACTGCATTTTATACATGTATTTTGGGGTAGTGAACAAGGATGTATTCATGGCTAGAGAAAAGAAAGAAGGAAATACTTCAAGTTATCCTTCTTACACTGTTTCAAACTAATCTCTTCACTTAATATACAGGGGTGTCTGATTTCCTGTAGCAATTTTTACTAGCATGTATGATTTACCTAGAAATAAATGTACTAACGGTACATTCTTACATTGGACAGACGTCTTTGCATGGAAGTAGAAGTCTAACCAACAATTGGAAGTTAGGAAAGTTTGGGACAAAAACTAGCAATTGACATAAAAAATGCTATCAAGCGGTTATCAAAGGATATACAAATTATCATATAGTTCCTACTAATTAGCAGGCAAGTTCCTTGAAGAAAGTATATACTAACAGAAATCAAACAAACGCGTTTTTGGAATAATCAGTAAGAAGGCATCTCCAACATTCACCTTCTTACTGAAGGAAGAAAGACCCATTTCTAGGGCTTTATAGCATAAAGCTCGCCTTCTTACTAAAGAGAGATCGACCCTCTTCCAGCGCTTTATAGCATAAAGCCAACGGTAACTAATAGAAGAGAATGAGCATTAGTGCCCATCAAAAATCCCTTCTAGAGGGAGAACCAATAAAAAGTTATCAGGAGATAGACAGCTTACTTAATATTTCAATAAAGTGAAGTGGCAAGGCCTCCTAGTCTTGATATTGAAGTATATTATTAGTCTTAACCAATTGAACAAAAACTAAAAGCAAAATGGATTGCATGCCATACAGATGCCACTAAGAACTAATCTGTTCGCGTCGTGTTTATTGAACTCTTTTCATGGTTTACTATCAACACAATTCGTGTTGCATAGTTAACCTTCAAATTATTTGAATTACAGGAAAAAATGAGGGAAGAGAGCAAGAAATATACATGGTTACTTATCAGTTAGGATTTGCCACAATGATCATTGAGGTCACTATATAACAATGAAAAACATGACAACTAATATAAGAATCAAGGAGTACCCTATAAGCACTTTACTTCTATGGAATGGAGCATTCACAATTTTAGTTAAGTTTAACAGTAGACAATTTATGGGATAAAAATTTAGAAGCCATTGCAAGTACATTCAGCATTTTTGTTTTCCATGACACCAGTACTGACATGAACAGTAAATGTTAGATAAATACCCAAGACTAAATTTCTACTCAATACAAACTTCAGTCAGACGTCCAAATATGGAAGTTTCTTTAATAGTGAAATTTGCACAGCTAAACATTGTTCTACACAGTCCTTGATGCTAATAGAAATCTACTCCATGTATGTCAGTGACAGGTAAGGAGCACTTGCACGCTCCTCAAGGCTAATTTATAAGTCTGTCACGTACAAAGTTGTGTAAAATGATTTATTACTTAGAACCATTTGTTTAAGATACTCAATTCAAGTATTGTGGGCATCTTATGCATGAAGTCAAAACTAACTTACTTTTCTTTAAACGACGAGCTAGAACACCTTCAACTATCAAACATGATTCACCTATGACTAAATCTATAGACTTGCATAAAAAGAGACCTATAATTTTCTTAAGGTGGCCTTAATTAATTATTTTAAGCTAAACAATTTTAATAAACTACATACCTATCTGACAAACTTTCGCTACTAAGCCCTTTTTAAATAAACTATAATGCTCACTGTTATTGGAGATGCACTCCATCCAAGTATGTTGTGTTCTCAGATCCAGTGTAGTAGCAAGTTTTTAAAAGAAAAAAAGGATCTCATTCCGATGACATTAAGCAACAAATATATGAAGCAAATATTAGTATTCTCAGCATCAGAAAAGAGTAATTGTCAATCTAATATATGGCTTAATATCAGGAAAGAAACCCTTAACTTTGGACGATTATCAGATAATCTCCCATAACTTTCAAAACCTTAGAGAACTCCCTTAAGTTTAGAGAAAACCACTTTTAATAAGATTTTATCAGGAAACCCTGACAAAAAATGCGAAGGTTTTTTCCCTAATAAGCCCTAACCTTTGGGGCTTGGGGCGCTATCGAACCATAAAAAAATAATATGCTGAAAATGTCGAGAATAAAATACTGTATAAGCAAGTTAACAGTTCTCGGAGAAACACTCTACCTAACCTGATATTGGCAAAGTGGAGAAACCTCCTGACCCTCCCAGGAAATACCTGTAAAGGAATAAAGTTTACCCCTAACCAAATGATTAAAGTGCAACTGACATCAATGGTCAGAGAAGGTCAACGGCATTGCTAAAGGGGCGTGCCTAGAAACAACTCATAGGAAAGATCGGTTATAGTAAACAAGCATATAGTGTACAAAGCTGAGTATAAGTATCCACCAAAAATTGTTGCCCTTTCACAGCGTTTTTTTCGTTTTTTTTTTTGCACTAAGTTCAATGAATACGGAACACAAGTTAAGAATTGTGCAGTCGGAAGTATAAAAAATGGTGGATCACAAGGCTCATAGAGCAAGTGTCCATCAGCTTGAGGTTCCAAGAGGCCAGAAACCAGTCATAAAGGAGGGAGATTTGATAGGGATTTACATGAACACTATGCTTGTATTACAACTGAGTTGCATGGATACAGGTACGGATGCGGGACACGACAAATTTGTAAAAGGTAGGGTACCGTGACATGGCTGAAACTCATAGGTTGTAACTTACGTCTGAGCTAGATACGCAAAGAACCCTTTAAAAATTTTACTTCTTAAGGCTGAGACAAACTTGACCCTCGTGCAACAAGTTCCTAAATGAACGCGACGTGTAGGACATATGTCCAAAAATTAAAGAATGTAGTGTATAACTGAGTACACTATTGAAATCTGAATAAATGTATACATATGTTTAAGGAGTGTCCATGAACTGATGGGTGAAACTCATAGGTTGTAACTTACTTCTGAGCTAGATATGCATATTTGGAATGTAGTGTATAACTGAGTACACTATTAAAATCTGAATATATGTATAGATATGTTTAAGGAGTGTCCATGAAATGATGGGTATGGGTACAACAGATGTCAGGTATGGGTACGGCTTCATGACAGATGTACCTAGGTAATTACAATGTTCTCGCAATGCTACAAAAAAGTTCTGCTCATCTGCAAATTGTACCATCCTACAACGCAATATCTTATCCTAAAGTGTATTACCTTTCTACCTTAAAATTTTCAAGGAAGAGAACAGGTTTTGTGGTTTCGGGGGATCGACATAAACTTAGAGCTATACCATAAACCCAGTGCAGATAATAACCTTAACCACATTTCTTTATTCAAAATTTCAAGAAAAGCTCAGCTTAAGCTTTAAACAAGAAGTCAGTCCTCGCACGGTTAACTTGCATGATCACGATTAAGCTTGGATTCTACGTAGCTGACAATTGAAACCTAAAGCCTGCCTGATAACTCTAATAAACAGTTCAAAGACTTTTATAGTTCCAATAAGCCTGTAAAAGATATATAACAAGAGACGAGAGTTAAATTTTAAGCCTGTCTTGATTCAGAAGTTAAATTACAACATGTGTATCTTAGAGAAAATAACTACGTAATAACTATACTTAAGATGAGGAGTAATCAAGTTTATACAAATCTAAGAACAATTTTGTTATTGACTACATAGCCACTCAGGACTACTTTAAAGTACCTAACAAATCATCAGTCAATTTCAATATAGATTATGTAAATGCCGAAAAATCTAATAGTAGAATGCTAGCCCGGACCAGAATCACCAAGGAGTTTGTGGTGTACAGTCTGACGAAAGATGGTTTGAAAATCAATTCAACTAGGTAGATATGTGTTAGATGGTTCTGACGAAAGATGCTAGCCCGGACCATTACTCTGTGTTAGATGGGAAGTGATGAAATTGATCATTGCTGGGAAGTAGCGGGTACAATGTTAATCTGATGAAATCATTAATAAAAATGAAATTGGCCAGAAACTACCATAACCTAGAAGGTAGATGTTAATCTGATGAAGACTCGTCAATTTGGCAATCCTGTTTTGTTTGAAATTAGAGCTATGAACATATCAACACCCATTTCACGTGGCTAAGACTATAGCATGAGAGAGGACCAAAACTAGACATGGGAGCTTAGGTCTACTATTCCAATTCAGCTTAGATAGGCTTCATACAATGGCCATATAAAATCTTCAGTTAAATAATCCAAAAGGGAAACAAAATTCAAATCCCAGCAGTGCAACAAGTAAAAGGGAGCATAACTAGTATAACACAACTACCTTCAAAAATCCAATAGCAGGCAAAGATGCAAATAATGTGACAGTTTCAATATTTCATTTAAAAGAAAATGAAAACTTCAGTTCATATACCTATATGATGGAAGAGACTGGGAAATGTTGCAGGACTCGGGTGTACAAATAAATTTCTGTAAGGAGACAAGACAGCAGTCAAATAAGTGTGCAGAAACTTCCAAAATCAAAAGAACTGCTTTTACAATCCGCGAGACAATTATGAGATAATTAGAACTCATTTTGACTTTAGATATGGGGTCAATTTGGTTTTCAAACAACACAAAATAATCTATATTAGATTTTGAGATACAATATTCACAAGTTGTTGACAAGTACACCAATTCACTATTGTGTACTATTTGAACTCAAACTAGACTGTAACGTGGCGACAAAGTCCTAAGTATAAGTCAAAGTGGCCTAACCCAGTAATTTTGTCACCTCTAATCTAATGTATTGGATGAACAATTTGCCATTTTGCATAAAACATGCAGTTGTACTTCTCATTCATGGACACTACTACTACAATCATCTCGTTGATATCTGAAGAATAGCAAACAATTCATAAAATTGTCTTCGTTGATTACATCTCCATGTTATTCTTTGTCTAACCACATCATGTCAGTCTTGTCTCACCATCATCACTCACATGTACATTCTTTTTTCCATCTCACTACCGTATTGCATGTGAATTGGAGAGACAGGACTAATTCTTTGTACAAGATCATTTGTGGATCCAACACAAACCGGTATAACAATAAGTGTAGTGCATCAACCATAAAGTCCCAAGATAGCATGATGGTACAAGTTATTGCATCTGTGAAGCATGTGTCTGCAGAGCCGCATCTCGAAGGAAACATATTTTATCAATACAAACCAGATAAAGGTTGACTTGTGGGCTCCCCATTGTCAAACTTAAAATTTTGATTTCAAATAAGATATAAGTATTTCAATGCATGTCATGCATGCATGATATTAAACCTGGGGGAGCGTTGTAGTTGAATGCTCAAGCAAATGAGCAGTTTGTTATCTTTTTTTATTTTTATTTATTATTATTATTTTTTTATTTTATTTTTTTTGGATCCAAGTTTGAGGGCATTTCCATTGATCTTCCAAGGCATGAGGGCATTTCCACTGGATTTTTTTCAAGGATGGTGTCATTTTCTTTTTTCAAAGTACGAGGGCATGCTTGGTATTCTAAAGATGACATTTATACAAACAGAAAGTGGGGCTCTTTATAAATAATAGTATGTGCATGATCCTACAGTCAAACAAAGGACTCTTGCCACTTAGCAATTAAGTATGAGACCAAATTGACCTGGCAGCATTAACATCAAGAAACTTCAAAGAGAACAGCAATGAAGATGTAAATTGATATACTGGTTTGGAATCCGCAGAGGTCATTACTCCAAAACTTACTTAGCTCTTATTCTTTTCTATAATAAGGAAGTACCTCTTCAGTTTCTGTAGATCCAAATACCAGTAGGATGTATAGGACGCAAGTTTTGGGATTACGACATCAAGATAGAAAAGAAAGCCCGTGTTTGCAAGATTTCAGTCTCAGCAACAGCAGTTTATGCGAAGACAAATGTGATTGCTATGTGGATTACCTTCAGAGAGCTGGAAAAGGAAGCAGGTTTAGGATCAAGGCTTTTCATATATAACATTACAAAAGTTTAGTAATGGCTCAAACGGAGCTGACAACTAGGGATGAACCCCTTCAACGACTTCTACTCGGTCTCCTTTAGGATTTAGGCCTTGCGACCTCACAAGCACCTGCAATGATCTGAGCTGGAACACTAGAGAAGATACTCAACATGTGGTGAACATATAAAAATGGAAGACAGAGAGCCAGTTGTCCCTATAACACAAAATAACCAAACCGTTATCTGTTTAGTTGGTAAAACATCTGATAAAGTTACTTAATATAGTCTATGAGCTATTATAATACGAAACACAATATAGTCTACAATTACTAAATGGCCTTCAATTCCCCTACTTTATTCTTTAAATTCCATTACTTCATCTGTCCCTTATTCTCCTTAACAGTTTATGTCTTCCTATTTCTTCTATTCAAATGCATATGTTTTTGGTGCAAATACTCAAACCACAAACCAAAAATGCCTATAGTCAAAAACCTTCCACCAGAGATGATATTAATTTCCATTGTATACATCATCTTTCTTGATTTCATTTTTAACTTGAGATGCCTTGAAACCTGAGTTCTCCAGGGTACCGGTCTAAGACACGTTATGCAAAGTCAAAATGAGTACTTGTAACGTAAAAATAGATTCCAACATTTCCAGCTCAAGATGCTGCATCATTAAAATTTTGAAGCTAGTTTTCTTCTGTGTCAGAACAAAGGAGCCCTAGGCTCACATGTAAGAAACTTCGCAATATGATAAAACTAGAACTCTACACAACGAAAAAAATCTAGTACAATGTTTACAATGAGACAATACAAGGAAACAGTTGCGCAACAACATAAAACCCCTACAACTATTAAATGGGTGTGAGGTGAGATATCATTTTAACAAATGTCCAAGAGGAAATTTACTTATTAGTAATGTTACATTAAGCGCTGGGCGCTTCTAGACATCAAACTTGGCGACCAGAGCTTAGTCGCCTAGGCGGGCGCCTAAGCAGTTTCTGGGTGATACCAACACTGTTAACTAAATTGCTTGGTTTACTAATTACAATAGCTCTTTGTATGTTTATACTTCTCAACTCAAATTATAAGTTCATCTCAACAGTGAAAAACTCATTCTCAACTCAAATTACTGTTAACTTATAAGTTACTGTTAAGTTTAAGTTAACAATACTTAAACTTACGTTTACTGTTAACTAAAATATTATTAACTTAAGTTTATTGTTTACTTAAACTTAAGTTTACCATCAACAAAAAACTTAATATTAACTTAAACTTAAACTTAAACTAAAGTTTGCTATTAGCTTAAACTTAAGTTTAACTTGAACTTAAACTTAAGTTTACTGTTAACTTACACTTCTTAAGTTTAAGTTACTGTTGTTAACTAACTTAAATAGATATTTAAGAAATACTATTTACCTTGTTAGTAGTTACAGAGATCGGGGGAGCTCGATAATGTTACAAAAGGCGCTAAGCAGACTAGGTGTTTGAGCGAGCGCCTAGACCCCTGGCGTACGCATAGGCAACATCTAGACGTTTGACTATTTTTAAATTATTTAATTATAATAATTGATAAAAATATGTATTAAATTCATATAAATTTTTAAAAAAGGATAGCAATCTTAGTTTCACAATAAATCATGCATACTTAGATACTAAATAGCCAAAATAATAATTAACAAGGCTAGAGCCTAAGATGTTTTCTTTTTTTATTTTTAATTACAATAATTGATAGTGAATGACAATGTTATAGAAAGCTTAGATGCCGGACTGGTGTCTAGGCGGATTTCTTTCTTCATTTAAGTGGTGGTCGATGAGGTTTTGCTGAAGGTCGGAGGAGGTAGTGGAGGTGTTCATATTTGGAGGTTAATGGAGTTTGGAGGACGTGTAGGCTACAATACATAAAATCACAACCAAAGCCTACATGGTGCAATCCACGTAAGCAGACAATGCTCCCCTAAACGCTCATAAAATCTAGGTGGGCAGCCTAAATACCGCCTAGGCGCTAGGCGCTAGTTAGGCGGCCTAGGTACCGCCTAGGCCTAAGCGTACACCTAAGCGGACTAGGCGGAGGTTTTTTTAAACAGTGAGTTATTAGGACTGAGAGTCAAAGATCATAACTTTAGATATGCTTTAGGATAAGGCTAAAACATAAATGCATACTGAAGCAAGAGGGTTCATATATCAAAAGAAGAGAGTGACGTCTTTCAATCAGTAAAATAATTACATCTGGATGTGGAAAATTTATAAATGTACCCAACCCAAATAACTGAGAATAGTTGTCAAAGCCTCGATAATATTTCCGTAATCTACAAAAAAAATCAGTGCCTTTATTCTTCATTCTACCAAGATTCGTCTATAGAGTTTAAAATCAAATTTTGATCTCGTGAGTCCACCGGACGTCAAGTCAAGAAACTCCTGTGAACTCATATTTTGTCAAACATGAATGTCAAATCGCATACAAAATTCTGCACCTTTGCCTATAGGAATTATGTATCAGACCCTTACAAAGTGTCTATGTACGCCTTAAAAAGACAAAAAGGCGTCAAAAACAGAAAGGTCTGAGGCTTGCAAATAAAGGTTGTCTCAGCACCCCCCTAGGACATACTGACAAAGTTATCCTTTCAAAAAGCAAAAAAGAGCCAGAAAGACATAAATTAGTTACTTGGACCAAATGAACCATTATCTAGAAATTCAAAAGTTCTAAGCCAAGTCCGAAGGAGATTGAACTAAAAGTAGTTTTATGATGAATGTTAGATGAGACCCACAAAAACTATGGGAAAAAGATAAGAAATATCAAGACACTGGATCTCAGAGAATCAGTGGACATGCCAGATGGCATGAATGGTCAACCTCAGACAACAAACTTGTTATTAACAAAGAGAATCTTATAACGGAAAGTGCAAACTCAAAATTGTAGGAACTCTGACTGTTTGATGAATTCAGAATATAAATTAAATACGAAAATTTTCAGATGCTAATATATGATAAACCCACATAGTGATAAACAATATGAAATCAATCAGCTAGTTAGAAAGCATCTAATTATCTTATATCTAAACCAAAAGTCTCACTGCTAGTTTTCTGCAGTTATTTAGTCAAACACATGGCTGACCAATTATAAGAGTATGAATACTTCAACTATCCAATAAAAAGACAGGCAATCAGAAACAAAGAGGTATTTCATAACTTTTCTGCGCATTTTTTTGGTCATTTTCATCACATAAGAGCTAGGGATTGGAAGACCAGACCAATGAGAGAAAAAAATAAGTGTATACAATGGTATACAATCTAACATCTTTTCTACTGTTTTAGAGGCTAGTCATAAGCATGTGGGATGTTTGTCTCCCAAACTAAAAGAAACACTTCATTCCACGGAGAAAAAAAATTGAAGAAAATATAGTGCATCTACATATCAGAATAAGAAATACAGAATAAGAAAGTCACAACTGTAGGATATCCCAAGTTCAATGATAAGAGATTCAGATACCAATATCGGAAAACTTACTACAATATCCAGTTAAAAGAAAATATAAGACATCATAAGCAGCTACATATCAGAAAAGCCAACCATAGAAAGAAATGTGCAGCTCAATGTCAGCATAGCGCACATTTGCTAGATTAAAAGGAGAGAGAAAAAAAAACAAACTTAACTGCCAGAATATCATAGTTTCAAATGGTCGTCACCACGTAGAAATATCAACCTGCAGCAGGAAAAGAAGCTATATGAATGAACCAGGACTACCAAGTTTCAAACATATGCATCAGAGAAGATGCCAAATAAATGGTAACAAATTAAGGAAATCATTTTCAAAAGAAGTCAAATTTTGCTTCCAGAAAAATACCATGATTTTTCTGCCAATGCCATTTTTGTTTACTGCCTCTTTGCACGTTTATCAAAGCCAGACTTCCGTGGTTTATTGGCATCTTCAAATGGTGCAGCGTTTGCAGAAGCTCTGTTCAAGGCAAGAGAGAGAGTGTGTGAGAGATAGAGAGACAAGCTCAGAGTGATTGCAATGCAATGGTGTCAAAGTTGGAAGTAATATAAAATTTGAATGAGGAAACAAATTCAACTGAAGAAAGGGGAAGAAATATACACGACCTGTGCTTCTTCGCATTTTCTTTCTTAATGCTCAACACCATATCCATAGCCTTTTTCTGATGCTCTCTTCCCTGGGAATGCGCTTCTAAACCCTCCACAGTCTCACAATCAATTTTGCATATAAGACACCTGACCATGCCACCAGCCTTCCTCTTCCTTGATTGCTCAAAGCTGTCAATATTACCTTCACGGGAAGCCTACACAGAAGCACGACAAGAGAGCTTTTGAATGAAATGAGGGGAAAAAAGGACCAAAGACATGCAGCAGGCTATTCCTGATAAATTAAAAGAAGGAGCAACATTGTGTAGAATCGTTCACATTGGCAGCACAGGCTATTCATTGTAAATTAAAAAAAGAAGCAACAGTGAGTACATTGGCAGCAAACATAAAGGGGGGAACTCACTGAACTAAACCGTCCATTGAACCCTGCATCACCCATTCGCAAATGAGAAGGAAAGTTTCCAAGGCCGCCAGTTTCAGCAATATCAGGATGATTGTGGAACCCGCCAAAACCACTACCTCTGAAGCTAGGCATATCTCGTGGACCCATTATTTCATTGCCTCGCATATCATTCGGCAAACCATGATTAACAGGACCAATGCCATCCAGACCCCTCCTTAGCTGAGTAGGCAGGCCATCAGGCATATCTCTACTAAAATGACCTGTTCACAACAGTGGAAAATGTAAAGCTTCTACTTCACCGAACTGTAGCATCAACTCAAACTCACTGCTTAATTCATACAAAGGAAAAATAGTAAATCATCTACCTGGGCTTCTTAGAGGAGGACGATCAAATTCAGGAACAAGATTGAGACGATCAGGATGAGGAAAGTTTCCGTCATGTCTCCTTCCTAGATGTTCACGTGCAATATCCAGAGGACTTTCTGAATTACCAAACCTAGGCGGAAAAGGGGCACCTGATTGATAAGAGGATGGTGGTCTAAATGCATTTGCACCTCCAGATTGTTGTGCCATCCTATCAAGGGGCCTTGATGTCGGATAACCATCAAACCTAGGAGGACCTTCACCATCCAAATGAGCTGGCCTAGGAAATTGCTTCAAATCTTCTTCGAACTCTCTCCTATTGACATGTCTAGCAGGATCCAATGAGGAAGGCCTAAAATGCTCATCGTGTGCTGCTTTGAATCCTCCTTCAGGAAAAGGCTTAAACCTTTCATCTGGTAAAGGCCTAAACCTATCTTCTGATTCATGCATTCCACCAACAGCTGCATTGTTTGTCATCCCATTCATTTTCATGGCATTTGGGTGTCCATATGGAGCATGCTCGTTGGGCAGAGGCCGATGAGTATCAGGCTGCCTGCCATCATAAACTCCAGGCCTCCTGCTAGCATGTGCTTCAGCTTCCATAGCATTAAAGCTAGCCGATCTTCCCATCTTGTCTTCAGATGTAAAAGAATGTCCTGCCATCATCCTGTTAGGTGCATCCAATGCACCAGGGGGTGGTCCACCCATAACAGGTCGTGCCATTGCCTGTTGATCAAAACCCTTCGGTGGGATTCCATGATGATGCGGAGCACCTCCCGGTGGCGGCGGTGGTGGTGGTGGAAGTCTGGGCCCGGGGGGGCGATGCGGAGCACCTCCCGGTGGCGGCGGTGGTGGTGGTGGAAGTCTGGGCCCGGGGGGGCCCGCATGTGGAGGTGGCCAACAAGCCTCTTGGACTACTGGCATCTGTCTCTGTTGAGGAAAGGTCTCATGTACATTATGCACAGGGGGTCTCATCTGACTTGGCAGCATGGCTTGTCCATGCACAGGCACCTGAGGAGAAGGCTCAGGAAACCTTCTTTCTTGACTAGACTGATGTATGGGTTGTTGAAACATCCCGTCAGGTACAGGAGGTCTTTGGGATATCATTCCTGGGTCAGACATGTGAGGTTGATGTCCGTAAGGAAGTTGTTTCGGGGGGCCCGGAGGCATTCCTTGACCAGTAGGTGGATACGCACGTCCTTGAGCAGGAAATCCACTTTGGTGTGCAGATTGTTGCTGCAACTGACCTCTATCTAAAGCATGAGTTGCTTGCATTTGTTGAGACAGCATACTGCTAATATTTCCAGCATTCTGACCTTCGGGGACACCTTCTCCTTTGAGCTGTGCACTGGATTTGTCATCAAATTTGCCTTCTCGGCCCTTACGACTATAAGAACCCTCAGTCAACCCACCCACTAAGTTGGTGTCTTCTTCCTTCTTAACCAGCTGGCCATCCACAATTTCATCCTTTACAATATTTTCTGGGACATCTTTGTTCTCATTCTCAGCTTGGCTGTCTTTATCCTTTGCATCTGCAGCTGTTTTCTCCTCATTACTCTTGGACATGGTATCAGATACATGTTCAGTGCTTTTCTCCCCTGATTTGGTCCCTTCAGCATTCTTTACAACTAAACCATCCTCTTGTTTTGGGGTAGCAGGTGATGCACCACCTTGTTTCCCACCATGGGGTGCCTGAGACTGTTGAATGGGTCCAGATTGATTAACCCTTCCGCTATAATTCTGATTTAGTGGTTGCTGGTTAATACTAGGCTGCATGAGATTAGATCCAGTACCAGGAGACTGAGGAACTGGCT